TTTTTTTAAAAAAATGCCTCTTCAAAACCTTGGTGCATCTTATACTCCAGTGCATCTTATACTCCAAAAGATACGGTATATCTCTTTCATCCAAAGAAATACAAAAATTCATCAGCAAAATACCCAGCAAGAAAACAATTGCTACTGGAGCCAAATTTCAGGGTTGTTTTCTCCCTTCACTTATGTTGGTTAGAACTCAAATAAAGAGATAAGGGGGAGCTATTTTGAGGGGATGATATAATAATGTTTCTCATGTATTATATACAGTTTTATATACATACATGGTGTATATACATGAAGTGTGTGTGTGTGTGTGTGTGTGTGAGTGAGTGAGAAAGAAAGAGAGAGATGGAGGGAGGGAGGGAGGGAGTATAATACAAAATATATTTTAAAGGCACACCTGGTGACATCTGCCTTTATTTGAATATGACTAGCCTAAATGTCTCTGTTATACTATGTTTGAAATGAAAATCTCTTTTTTTAATATAAGAAGTATAACAAGGTGCTTGGCACAATTAGCCTTAGGGATATTTACTGCTTTGAGCCCAGGAAAGGGATATAAATAGGCTGATTTGTGCCTATGTGGAAAGCACAGGTGAGGAAACAGAGGGTTGGAAATAATTTAGAGACAGAACCGAGTGCCTAGCCAGATTGGGCTCAGCTGTTGGTCGCTATCTGCAGAGCTACATGAAACAGGCAAATATGAAATTAAAGTTTATCACGGATTACCCGTCAGGCATTCTAAAAAGGAACTTGACCCCAAATATGCCAAGTAACAACTTTGAAGAATTGATCTTCTTGCTGTTTACTAGGAGTGAATTTCACATCTTTTTGAGTTCTTTAAAAGTTGCCCCTATATCATTTTGTATCATTTTTTTAAAATCACAACTCCATGCTGGCTAGAGCTACAGGACAGAAGTAAAAAAATGAACTAATTATTACATAGATAACATTTATAGATTATACAGTTTAAAATCTGTATGTTGACAGCATAATTAAGTCAAGTCAATTTCATAATTAACTATTAGCAAGCATGAACAGTTTTGTATTTAACAGCTGTATAAAAACAACTCATATTTATCTTTGTTGTTGCTTTAATAAAATTTCACTGATCAAATATTTGGAATCACTGAGATAATCATACAAGCCAAGATCAGAACAAGATTTATTTGCACCCATCTTCTTGCTATGCTCGAATTAATCCTGGAAATCTTTACGGATTCCTGTCAGCCCTCCCAATTAAATCAGATAGGAAATATGACTACTCTCCCAAGACCATTTTTAACTGCTGTTTAAACAGGAAGCACGGGTCCTTCTTCATTTTTTCCTCTGACTGTTAAGCCATTGAGGGCTCCCCCATTTCTTGTTTTCTAAGCAGTATCTCACCCTCTCATCACTCAAGGTTATTCTCATATTTCATGACAATTCCATTAACATTTTTAAAAGCAGATTCAAAAGAAGCTAGGATCTTACTCCAGGTAGAAACCAGGAGATAAGATTCTGAATTGGCTTAACATAGTATAGCAAAATAATGAAGAAGAAAGAAAAAGCTTACAGATGGACTAAATGGGCAAAGGGTTCATCCACATTAATGCATTCTCAGACAAATTGGGTCTTTGAAAGATTAAAACGCTGAAAATACATTTTGAATTCTGCAGAGGTTAATATGAAATGTGCTAAGGGACAAGTCATCTAGCAACTGTTTTTTTAAAAAAAATATGAAAACAGAACAGAATACAGATGACAGGGTTGTTGGCTGGCTACAGGATTTTCCAACATTTTCATTACCCAACTAGATGACATGAGAAGCTATGGAAACACTCATCCAGTATCATAAATAAACATTCTACAGATGAACTGTGGCCAATTCTGAGGTGATCTTGGTGTCCTCGCTTCTGTGTTCCCTTTATTTGATCATTCTCAGTTCTTTTCACTTACATTCTGATTTCCTCACTATATCAAGGTGTCATTTTGACCTCGCTCCCTACCTCTACCCCTTTTTATCAGGCAGCGGTATGAAATATTTTTCTCTCCTTCTCTTGCAGATGGCAGGGCTGCTCTTAAGCAAGGTGCTGGTCAAAATTCCAAATGTGCCTTCCAGGAAATAAAGGTTGGAGCTCCCTAATCTAGTGTATTTGTTGCTACAAACACAAAAATGTGCAACTTAGGAAAGTAAAGGAAGAAACATTTAACAGGTATATGAGAAATATCATTGCCACAGTCTCACAAAAGATGAAAAACATAGACTTTCTTTGTCTTTAGGCAAGATTTTTTCCAAATGTCATTCTCTTTAGAAAAACAACAGGAGAAGGTAATGTGCAAAAAAAGCATTTTTTTATACATTTCAAGTGCATCCCAAAATAATCTAAACCAGCTGCTTGTCCTAAGTAGCTTTATGCATATTTTAGTTGAAAAATATAAGATACAATCAAAACCGTTCTAACTTATAATAAACTCTGCATATGAAGTTCAGGATAACATCAGGATCCACACCCAGTGTTAAAGAGTGATTGGTTTTAATTAAATAAAACAGTAGTAAATAAACAGACTGGAAAGCAAGAAATGAGTTTATCAGTCCATAGAGTGGAATAAAAGAGCACTTACCCTTGGAAATCAGTATCAACAAGGAGCCTGACTAAAATTCCTGTCACAGCAACAAGGATTGGATAGTGGTCTACACTTTCCAGTCCTAAGGAAGAGAGCAGAGGTTCAAAGTAAATATGAATACTGATGCAAACTTCCCAAAAGCCTCTTTTATGACTCTTGATGGAGGCACAGATGAAGACCAACTAGTATAGATCCCCACCAAGTAATATCATCAGCTAAGAATCTAGGATGTAATTATTGGTTAATGCAATTAGGGATTTGTTTTAAATTATCCAATTATCAAGTATTTAGCTCAGGGGTGTCAAACTGGATTTCTTCGAGGGCCGGATTCAGCATTGTAGTTCTCCTCCGCAGCTGGTTGAGGGGTGGCAGAGGAAGGGGGGAGGAGATGGGATAGTCATGTCCTGCAGCACCCTGCTGGCAAAAATGGGGTGCAGGGGGGCTGCATACAACCCCTCCCCCTGTGCCCCATTTTCGCTAGCAGAGGCATTGCAGGCCAGTCCTTTGCTATTTCCAGGCCGGCCCTGCAGGCCATATTTAAGCACCCCGCAGACCTTGGGTTTGACAACTCCGCTTTAGCGAAACTCCCTTTCCTCTCTGTTTTGAGCTATTTTGGACACATATAAAAAAGACAAAACAATCTTCTCCTCACAAATTTTAAGAGGCAAGCAACTAGTACTAGAGAGAGTGCTTCGATTTTACGAATATCACTACTTGGTGTCTAGAGTTACAAAGATACCTGGAAAAAAAACCTGGAAAAAATAGCAAAACTGTGGATGTTTGGAAGCTTTTGGAAGCCTGAGGCAAGAATGAGACCAGGCTTGGAGAATATTGCAAAGTGGGCCTCAGTAAGAAGGCCTGGTATGGCCAGTAGCCACGTCACATAGTATGGGCGTACCTGTCAGCAGTTGAAGAAAAATGCAAAGTAGGTGGGCCACAGCCTCTCCTGTGGAGCATAGGGAGACAAGGGCCATTGGGGTTTGGCACAAGGGTGCTGGTATCATTTTATGTGGGGCCTGAGATGGCATTTCTCAGGGCAGCAGCATATTTAAAAATTACAGGCTGCAAGAATGATCTAGAGAAGGATGATATACTGGATACACAACTGAAACTGGCTGCTATTTTAAAAGGAACATACAAATACAATTCAGGAGAGTGACCGGGATTATTTTTCTGTACTGGCTTTACAAAAGAAGGCTTGTTACAATTCTGAAGATTCTACCGAGGAGAGACAAAGAAAAAGGAAAAATATTAATTTGTAGGACATTATCTGAAGGTATTAAAAATCAAGATTGTTAAAAGTTAAGAGAAGGAATGTAAAGTTAGTTTATCTGATTAAGGTTAAAAAAAGTAGGTTGTTCTCTGATAATCCTTAATGGACTTTTGCCAATCAGGCCTGAATGACAAACCTATTCATAGATAAGAAATGACATATAGGAAGAATGGATCATTTGTTGGTGATATGTTGCTAAAATTGTTTATACTTGTGATGAAGGGGCAAGTTACATCTTCTCTCTCTCTCTCTCTCTCTCTCTC